AACCCAAACTAGGCCGAATGGATAACCCATTCGGACCCTGATTTCTGCCAGGCGGTTGAACCGCCCAAGGCAGGAGGTTGCACCGCCTGGGCTCAGTCTCCGAGCGAGACTGGGAGGTGCAATCGCTCCAGCCAGGCGGTGGCACCGCCTAGGCTCAGTCTCCGAGCGAGATTGGGCGGTGTAACCTCCCCTGACAAGAGGTGGCACCGCCTGAGCTCAGTCTTCGAGCTTTGTCAGGCGGTGCAACCGCCTCAGTCAGGAGGTGCAACCGCCTGAGCTCGGTCTTCGAGCTCTGGCAGGAGGTGCAACCGCCCCTGACAGAGGTGGCACCGCCCAGAGGCTCAATCTTCGAGCTCTGCCAGGCGGTGCAACCGCCTCAGTCAGGAGGTGCAACCGCCTGATCCCGGAATTCCGGGAATTGACAGTTTTGAGCTCCAAATTTGAATTGGGTTGGGGCCTATAAATACCCCACCCATTCAGCACTGAAAGGGCATGAACTTACACCGAAATCTTGATCTTTTTCTGTGATTCTTAGAGCTCAAAATTGTTGTAAAGGCCAAAAGTTCTTCTCCCTCTTTTCTTCCAAGTTCTGAGTTGTAAAGAGAGGAGAGAAAATTCTGTAAGGGTTGTCTCTTAAGCCCGTCAAAAGGAGTGAAACTGTAAAAGGGTGGTTGACCTTCGCCTATTGAAGGAAGGCCTCTAGTTGACGTCGGTGACCTCGTCGGTGGAGGAAGCCAAAAGTGGAGTAGGTCAAGATTGACCGAACCACTCTAAATCTCGGTTTGCATTTACTTTGAGCATTTTATCTTTACTGCAAACCTCCTCAATAGCTTACTGCCTTCTGTGTTTTTACGAACGTGTTTCAAAGTTCAGTGCTTTCCGAATCGGGGTTTAAGACGCAAATCAGTTTTATCGTACGAACGTCGTATTTCAGTTTGCGCTTACGTTCTGATTTCCATTATAATTGCAAACTGCCTTTATATCTTTGCTTTAATTGCATCTCGCCTTATCTCAAGTTAAAGTGGTTTACGAATCAGCTTTTATACCGAAATCACTTTTATCGTATGAACGTCGTATTTCAGTTTGTGCTTATATTCTGATTTCCATCATAACTGCAAACTGCATTTATATCTTTGCTGCATCTCTCCTAGCCAAAAGTTGAAGTGATTTACGAATCGGCTTTCTTACCAAAATCACTTTTATCGAACGAACGCAGTTTTCGATTTTAATTGTAGAAAGTTTTCCGCTGCACTAATTCACCCCCCCCACCTCTTAGTGCTCTTGATCCTAACAGAGAGATGACTAGGAACACATTAGGCGAGATGTATGACTTTGAGATTCTCACTTACCTTCATTTGCCTTGAGATGCATATGAAATTTGCTTCAACCATACTAAACACAATAGGTCAAGCCAAAAACAGTTTTTACCCCTGAAATATGGGTTTTGGAATTTGAAAATTGAGCGATCTGTTTGTCTTGTGAAATGCCAAGTATGTAGAAGATATCCTTCACATAGGTCTCATTGGAGCTTCAAACAGTTTTTGCTTGTTACACAATTGGTTTACTTTCAATGTTAGAACCTGAACCTTTCAGATGAACGCGTGTAGATGGATTAGCAACTACTAACCTGAAGTGATCTTTCTGTAAAATAAAGATTATCAGTTCCAGGATATACAAGATGTTATGTGGAAAAATGTGAAGAGGCTGTTTTCCTCCTTACTTAATTTGAATATATCATTAAAAACAATTTCAGATGTGACATGATAAAGATACATCAATGTGAAATTCTCGAAAAAGTAGGGAATATGACAGTAATGGTTAATTGTACCTATACAAGGCAGAAGTGATTTTTTTTATTTTTTTAAAAATATTATTTATCAGTTATAGATCCACAATAGGTAAACAGTGTGTTCACCCGGAAATGCCAAAATATATACAATGACAAATAGGAAAGGAGATAAGGTTGAAGTGAGATATGGCAATCATTTAACATCTTTTTGGTAATTTCAAGCAGCACTCTCTGCATTATCGTTTAACAAAATAAATGTCTATTACTGGGTCATGATTTAGGAAAAAAAATAATTCTTCACGGTAGTACTGAAGAAGTCTTAAGCTCTAAGGTCTAACAATTTTCTCTTTTATAAGATATGATCATTTCATGCTGGTCTAGTATGGTAGTACATTTTGAAGTATCAGTGTTGTACATCTTAGCTTGATTAGTCACACTTGCATTATTGTACATGCAGTTGGATAAACATCAGACTACTGGCAGCATTAGATCTTCTGATAATGAAAAGCGAGAACTAGCCAAGGCTTCACTGGCATACAATTGTGAAAGGTAATTGTTCTTGTTTGAGTGCTATAAATTTACCTTGTAAAATCAACTGAAGCTTTCAATGTTTATGCATGAGGATTTAGGCCCCCTCCAACACCCACCCTGTTTCAAATATTAAAATCTATAACGAGAATCTAGTTTTAATGTGGTTCCTGATCACTCATCCAGATTAGAAGTCGAATAGGTATATGGTGATATTTCTCAACATTGACTGACGGTTTTAGAACTGATATAAGACCACAATTTAGTCTTTTTTACTGGAGAAAATTTTTTGTACTAAGATGGTAAACACTTCAAAGAGAATGAAGGTTTAGAAAATAAAAGAAGACTGCATTAGATTCTTTCTACAGGATTCAACGTTTAGGCTTAAGATGTTAAAGACTCTAGAATCTTCTTTTGTGCCAGTAGGAAAATTGCTTTTTCTATTTGCATAGTGTCATTGATGTGCAAGCTTTCCGTTTTCTTTTCTTGCTTTTATTTCTTTTTATTCTATTTTTTTGGTTGGGGTTGTGTGGGAGGTGGGTAGGGGATAGAGGACGTTGATCTCCATGTTATCCAACCATTTTTGGTATACATGACTTTCCACTTGTGACTTATTTGAGTTATAAAGAGCTGCTTGTGCTTTTACTACATTGTTATTGGTACTGAATTCATAACTTGTCATTTCTTGTATGGAGCAGCAAGAATTGCCCTAGTTTTAAGAAACTCTTCCCAGAATATGTAGAGAAGTACAACAAACAAAAGTCTCGAGCATCGGCCATTTCACAACAGCCACCGGAGGATAAATCAGGTCACCTGTCCGCCAAAGCAGAACAAACTGGAACACAAGATCTCAAAGAGTTTGTAAATGATGCTGGTAAGAGAAGGCAGGGAAAGCAGTTGCCATTCTGGATAGTACTGCTGTTGTTATCCATCTTTGGCATCGTCATAGCCTTGCCTCTGATGCAACTTTGAATGGTGGCTAGGAAAAGGAATAAATTCCACATTACAGGCTACAAATTATTATATTTGTGCGCTGTAGATTTTTGTATAGTCTAAGTTGGATCCAGATAGCGGTACAAACTTTTTCTGATGAGCTGACATCTTCTAGTTTAACTTGTTGAAATACATTTAACCATTCAATTTCTCATTACCGGCATCATGACGGTCTGTCTTTGATTTGTGTGATATTGGTTGGCAGAACAAAACGAGACATGTTCTCCTTTTTCCAACTTTGCTCTATATGAAATCGTATCTTAAGTTCCAAGAATCTTGTTTTTCGTTTTTCCATGTTACCTAGCTGCAACTTACTAGTTTATGCCATCTGATTCTTGTTGTATCTCATCTTTGCTCGCAGCACAGCCCAGAATTTTCCAGCTATGATTGCATGAATGTGTCAATGGATTTCAGACTCAGAATCAGGTGCGGGTGACCTCAAGTGTCGTGATGCGTCGTAACTCATCGATCCAACTCGTCTTGATCTGTAATAACAGCCGGTGGAGTGCACGTCACGGAGGATAACACCTCCAACTCGTGTTTCTTTTTGTCGAGCAGCGAACCAGTGCTGCAACGTGGCCCATAACGTGAAAGGCGTCGCGGTGGTGAACGTCGAAAGGAAAAACAAAAGACGTTTCTTTTCTTCTTTTGACTCGTTGCTCTACGGTCAGAAAAGAAGTCGAGCAACGTGGCACTTCATACAAGGACTCAGATGGATAACGTCTTGTTGTTTCTCAAGATCCGTTTCGTATACGAAAACTTAAATGGATGCCAAGCTTCTTGTCAGCAGGAAGAGAGCTCTTCAGATACGTCTCCCCATCGATAAAATGGTTGAGTGGAGCATGAGATCGCGACGAAGGAAGTTGCCCCTTTACAAGGAATATTATATTTCAATCATATCCAACCAAGAGGTGATTATGAAGGCAGGAAATTCCACTTTCCGAGGAATGTTGGATTCGACTCATACCTACGAATCACGAGCTCTCCCACCACCACCGACCGACCCCAACTTATGTAGGTACCGACGATGTCGACGCACACCCAAAACACGCCCACCGTCCCAGCATTCATCCCCGCTTACCCGCGATTCTGAGATCGACACCTGTCCCCGCGCGTCTCGGAGGTCTTCCGATGGACCCCACTCGAGCCTCGCTCCCACGTGAAACGTCTTTCTGGGGTCCACCCGAACCCAAAGTGGGTGGTGACCACTCCCACAGCGAATCCTCGTCTTCTCCGAACTCCCAACTCAAAAACCATACTTCTCTCGGCTCATCACTCGTTCCACCGTGTCGAATCCATCCAATCCCACTTGCATCCCACCCAGGTTTCTTCCCATCTCTCGATCCCAAAGACAGACGCACACATACAAAGCCAACGTGTCCCGACCGAGATGAACCGGTACCGCTGCGCCTGGCGGACGCCGCTTTCCGAACCCACAAAAAATTATACCCAAGTAGATGAAAACGTGCAAAACGGTTTTGTTGCGATTGTTTGGGTATCTTTCGGGGCCCTTTTTTATCGGTGCATATAGTTGGTTCCGTAGATGTTGGAACCAGATCAAGTATATCTTCCACCTCACCGCCACCGTTCACCCCCTCTTTCGCCGGTCCCTTCCCTTCTTTCAAATGATCTCCATTAACGCCACCTATTTATATCGTCTCTCCCATCGTGAGCCAAATCATCGTCTCTCTCGACCGTCTCGTACTTCTCTTCTTTCTTTTTTTCTGACCTTTGCAGGGATCTTAAGGAGGTCCCTTTGCAGGAATCTCCCCCCAAGATTGACCGTGCGCTTCTGTTCGTCATCTTTGGGTCTCCATGGCGGCATCGGCAGCTCCGGACGGCGTATGCACGAACTTACTGAGATTCTTGAGACTGTTGCCCTAATCGAAAGGTTTCGATTGTCTTGTTAGTTCTGATTTCTTGGGGATTGCAATGGCCGCAGGGAGAACGGAGCTTGCTGGGGAATGGCGTCGTTGGGATCCTCGCGGAGTCGATAAACATATGGGAGAGGAGAGCGCCGTTGGCGCCGTCCCACTGCGCTCGCCTTTTGCTGAGCGGGAAGGGCCAGAGCGGAGTCGAGCGGATCATCGTGCAGCCGAGCACGAAGCGGATTTTTCATGACGCGCAGTACGAGGATGTAGGGTGTGAGGTATCGGATGATCTCTCGGAATGTGGCCTGATCATAGGGATCAAGCAACCAAAGGTCAGAGTGATAGCAATTCAGTTGGTTCTTGACATATACCTGCGTCTTGATCGCTACAATGTGTGAGGTTCATTTTTTGGCTGGCGCAGTTGGAGATGATTTTTCCTGATAGAGCCTATGCCTTCTTCTCCCACACCCACAAGGCGCAGAGAGAAAACATGCCGCTGTTGGATAAGGTAGCTGCTTGACGATATGCATGATTCCTTAGTTCCTACTTGGTGACAGTTATGGGCTTGATTTTGTTCTTTGATTTACAGATTCTTGCAGAAAGAGTTTCCTTGTTTGACTACGAGCTTATAGTTGGAGATAGTGGGAAAAGACTGCTTGCATTTGGAAAATTTGCTGGCAGAGCTGGCCTAATTGACTTTTTACATGGGCTTGGACAACGTAAGAGGATTTGATTTATCATCTCACTGATATTAAACCTCCTTTTTCCTCTGTCAATTGCTGATGATAAGAAGATTCCTTAAAAATATATAGACCAGTCTTTGAGTAGAAATTCCATTGTGACTTTGCATTGTTGGACATGGAACTGGATTATATATATCAATCTAATTGCTTCATTCTTAGGATTGAAAAATGGAGTACCTTTTTTGGTTCCAAAGTCAGTTGCCGTTATTGCATAAAACTTGCCACCACCATCTGCAGTGATATAGTTAGTAAATTGATGCCTTAGGGACTTATACGTTAATATTATCCTTACAGATAATAATATAATTTGTTTATGAACATGTAACTACACTGAATTTGACTAGTGGCCTATCTTTTGAAATGAGGGTTCCTTCTGGCTATATTTTTGTAGATCTGTGCTTATGGCTTGACTTATGGATTTCCTTGTGTACAGGATACTTGAATCTTGGATATTCAACACCCTTCTTGTCTCTGGGGGCCTCTCATATGTATTCTTCCCTTGCTGCGGCCAAGGCTGCAGTGATTGCTGTTGGTGAAGAAATAGCAACCCTGGGGCTGCCATCTGGAATTTCACCCTTAGTCTTTGTATTTACTGGGGATGGAAATGGTAATGTATCTAGAATGAATTTACTATTTTTTTACTAGGGTTGTTAATTGTATTTTTTTTACTAGAATGAATTCACAACTATTGACATTTACACTGGGTATCCCTTATTAAGGTGTCTAGAAGTAAATTACAACTGAGCATTAAATTTTCTCTTGATGCTTACTAATCTATATTTTCTGCATATGATATTCTTGTTTTGTAGTTTCTCAGGGTGCACAGGAGATATTTAAGCTCTTACCTCATACCTTTGTTGATGCTCAGGAACTTCCAGAAATTGTTGGTCTGGTACTTATTGCTCTTTCCTTTCCATGTTTGTCCTTTAGTTTGAATATACTTCCAAGGAGTACATATTATCATGGTTCATCTACTTGATATTGAAAGAATTTTGTTTTGCTTCATCGGCTTTTGGTAGCTTCAACTGAGAACAAAAAGTTATACTTCTGAAATTTTTAATACATATTTTATGGTGCAAATCATTTGATCTAATGATACTTTTGTGAAGGAAAGCTTCATTCCCTAGTAAAGATCATAAAGTAATGGTTCTGTAAAAGTTTCCCTGATAAGGTGAGAGCTGATACAGATTAATATGTATAAAAACCTACAGTTTGCCACAGTCTACTTATTGATTTGCTGTAAAACATAGCAATTTGATTATTTGGTGTCAGTTACTTAGATCTTTTTCTGGCATTGAGCTCGTTGATGGCAATACTACTAGTCAATATGTCAATCAAAGAGTAAAAGTAATCATTATAGTTCAATCTTCATATAAGATTAAAAAAAATCTCATGGCGATTATCAGCTTCCTGAAACAACTCTCCTTCACCCAGGCTAGGGACGTCTATTAAATAGATGGAAAACAATCAGTTTTCTTGCTACCAGACCAGTCCCATTTCAGTTCTGTTGTTCGAGTGAAAACTTATTTGGTTTAGCTTGTTTCACTAGTAGTGTAGCAAAAATTCGCATAAAATAGTAGTGACAATTTTATCCATGAAACCATTTTTTTGGAACTAAGTAAGCAAGCATTTACTGGTATATGCAGAAAATTTTATTTCTTTAGTAGACATTATTATGAGTATGGAGCTTCACTAAACTCCTGGAAAATAATTCAACTATCCTCAGAATTTACATTCTAGGTAAAACTTTCCATGATGACTAGTTTTCAAATATGTTATGAGAGCACTCTAGAGAGAGATGATGTGACAGATAACAATGCATAATGACTAGCTTCAGGTTTCAAAGCAAGTTGTGAAGATGTCTAGCAAATTTCTGGTGATGCTTTAGTGAATGCAATTTTCTGTAGATTGACGAGACAAACTATACAATATTAGTTTTGATGAGTCATGAACTTATTATCTATGACTTGATGCTGTAACAGAGTGGTGTCACAAAAACCTAATCGAACTCAACCAAACCCATCAAATTCCCTTTCTATCTGATTTCCCCGAGTGTCATCTTTGAACATAACAAGTCTTAAGACAATCCAACATGATTTCCTTGCACCAAATTCACCCTCCTTTATGAAATTGTGCTCCAGAAGTGGTACATGGAAATCTCATATTGTATGCTACTTCTGGTGGTCTTCTTCTCACTAGTAGTTTCTGGATGAATTACTTAATGTATGTTCTATATCAGCCTTTTGCTTTCTGTGAACTGCAGTTTTGTTTTTCTTTAAATTGCAGGCTAAGGACCATGCTCAACATTCAGGATCAAGAAGGAGAGTTTTTCAAGTCTATGGCTGTGTGGTGACTTGTCAAGACATGGTTGCACCAAAGGATTCGACAAAAACTTTCAATAAGGTACATCTCTTTCTGTTTCTGCACAAACTACTTACTACTATTTTATATAATTCTTCCACCTTTTGCTTATGTAATTTTTCCTAATCCATATTTGAATGGACTAGAATCTTAGTTCTATTTCTGCCCGCTGTTTATTTCAGTATATTTGG